TTTTTCTTGAAATTTGTTCAAAATTTACACCCGAAGCCGACGAAAATATAAAAGGCCAGTTGGTGTGATATTAAAGATCGCCAAGTGGTTGAATTTCGGCCATCAATCATTGAGGCTTAACTGTTTCAGTTTACATCATTGGTCAGGATAATTTCAGCGGTCATTGTGTAGACTTCATACGTAAACTTGTAAACTGGACGCTTTTGGTAGCCACTTAAGTAATACTTTGAAACTTGTATCACATTTAAAAGTTAAGCTTTCTGTACTTCTTTCAGATTGTTTCACATTTCTAAGCACAAACTTTACTTCGTAGAAAGAAGTTTTTTTTACATACAAATATTTAAGTACCTTTTGTCAGCTGTATTTTTTGCCTTGCTAAGTTATAAGGCTAAGTTGTTGCTAAGTTAGGCGTTATTTAAAGCTATTTGCACATCGAATTTTCATACGATTAACGAGACACCTGTAATTACAATCGTTCTAATAAGAATTATCAGTTTCACGGATCTAATAATCAAAATTAAACTACTTTAAAACTATACTACTATAAACTCAAGTCTTAACAATTTTATTGAAACATGGTATAAGCACATCGGTCTACCCATTCTCAGGTGATGTGCTTACTAACAAACATCACTTCCAACTTTTAGAGGTCTTTAGATAAACTTTAAAATTGATGACGTAAGTTTAAGTTTCTGTAATTCTTGTTCATGGTAACTAATTCGCCATTGCAGTAAGTATTTTATATATTGAATTTCACATCGCCTTTAGGTTTAAAAATGCAAGCAATTAGAGCTTGTCTGTACCAGTAACTATTAGGCACCAAAAGCTTATTTGAAAAAAGTGTGTGTGTGTGTGTGTTTGTGTTGCTATAAGTGGTCCGAAGTGAAAGACGACAGGGACCTTTATGAAACACCTGTTCGACGCCGACGTAACCATTTCGTAAATGTTCAGGTAAAGGAACGAGGAAAGGAACTATGTCAAAATCACTCAAACTGTAAATTTACTCAATACTCAATTTTATGCCACAATCATTTTTAAAATATCTTACTTTTTTAAATTGTTTTTTTTTTAAATTTGTTAGTTTATGTGTATTAAATTATAATAAAAATAAATAAACGTTATTATCAATATTAAATAACATATTCAGATCACATTTGAATGTCTTTAAGAAGTATATTACAAAATACGGCAAAAAATCTCATTAAAAGGATCTTTTAAAATAAATAGTGTGTAAATAGTATATTAATGGACTTACTGACTCGCTCAAGGTATTTGAACTTCTAAAACCTTATAGCTTACAGAGTAATTCCAGCCTATATATGGCTTATGGCCAGTTTCCGCTATTACAGTTAGCACGCTTGTGTACACAAAATGCTTAAACAATCCCCGTTGTACATTAAGTAACGGAACGTGACCGAGGCGCCCTCTAGCGGCCGACTAATAAAAACTGTAAACTAATTAGAACAACATCACGCAACGTTGAGGAAATGCAATACTATTTAATAAACAGAGTGTAGATTTCGTTAAGGGAAATGGTATAAAAATACTGTATAAAATATGTTTTTACTACCAAGTTTAAGATTTAACGTTGCGTAACTATTACTATTTACCTTGACTTTTAAAGGGAGACAATATTTTTTATTTAAAAGAAATCCCATTAGTAATTACGACTACAGCCAGGTGCACAGAAACAGCCAGAAGTTAAGAGCATGATGTGAACGTACTCTAATGGTAGAGCCAGAATCACGTACCTAATTCTTTAATTTATAAGTGTGTGATTCACTTGCAAATATTATCACTCATGTAACTTCTTGTGTAAATAAAAAAGGAAAAGAGCGTATTCGTACCTCAAAGGCAGGCGCTTGAGACTCTTGTGCGCAGGGCGTTGATAGGCGGCGCTAGTCATTCTACATCAACCAGCTGCTCGTTTGCCCAATATATCGACGATGTTTTCTGCTACATCACTACAATTTGTCGATAAGTTTACGAATAAGTGCATTATCACAACTTAAAGATCATACAAATAAAGTGGATAACTAAGCCTATACGGTACCGTACAATATATATCATAGCTTAATCAACTTTTTAAAAATACAATGCCATAATCTATATTGTAAATTTTATTTACCTGTTTGCTAGAAAAATCATCTTGCAGTAATTTTGACGAACAAATTGTTTTGACATGACACCGTTGATTACAAAATTATCCTTAATATTTGTGTCGCCGCAGTTCACGTTTTAAACAACTCAAGTATGAACTGAAGTGTGAAGTGAATTAATGTGCGACCTACACGGCTACACTATTTGCAACGGTAGAAACTCAACCGCACATAGATTTTGAGTAGAACCAACTGCTTAATATGAAAGAGATATCAATTTTTAAATGTTTTCTTTATGTTGTTAATATTATTTTCTAAATTAAAAAAAAAAAACGAAAAAAAAAAGTTCCATAAAACAATCTCATGTAACCTGCACATTTTTTATATCTCAATTTTTTTATCTTCACGGCACGTTCAATGTGGTACGCATAATGTTTAACCTTTCGCCTGTCTCATTGGAGTCTCCCACAAGGTAATACTCACTTAATTTAAATCTCAGAAACGCCAATTACTGTATAACCCATTTTGGACCTTATTCGTGTGGACAGTTGGTGGGTTATTCGATAAATATAATTTTAAACATAAGTCTGTATAAGAATTATATTTTTTGTCCGGGACCCACGTGGTGTAACACATGTATGAGACCATCGCATCCCAACACAACCCGGGAGATGTGGAATGATAAAATTTTAGGAAAATGTTGTTATCTTGAAACAATTTCTCTTAATCTTCACTTATTATATTTCTATGTCTTCATCTAGTTGAAATTCTCATAGTCGTAAGTCCTGTTAGTAAGATTGATTGAGTAGGTTTTTTATGTTCTTTTTTAAAGTTAAAATTTTATTGAATCTAGTTACTAAATTCATACTTTTTATATAATTATATAGTACCTATACAATTAGGAAGCATCATCTAGATGTGACACAAGCAGTAGTAAACGTTTTAAGAAACAAATTGATTTATTTTTAAAGAATTACCCAGGTCAGTATTTTAGGTTTTTATAGTCATTTGTGTAATAAATGTAATCTGTGCTATTTCATATGTGTCTACATTATATATGAGTCTCTTTGATTATAATTTTAAGCTGTCTTTCTTCATTGTGTGCCAAAACTTTTACTTTTTCCTACGAGTGACAGCATTATTTTTTAAACGCATAAGAATTATGCCAACCAGGTGCGATAGATAAACTTTTTTGTATCTGTACTCTTCTTTCTCACTTACGCACTCATTTTTATTATCTTTTATTTTAGTTCATACTTGAGTCGTTTTTATTTAATAAGCTTACATTTAATTTGATATCAAATTTTCAAAATACATATTATTATATTATACACTTTTGTTTTGACACCGTATATCATCTGCAATATAAGGTGTCAAAACAAAAGTTGTATACTTTGTTGACTCAGCTAATATGTCCATAACTCCATATTTTACTCCCCAAGAATAAACATGACAGAAGATTAAAGGTTATTGTACTGGTTAGGAGTAGTATAAAATTCGGTGACAGTGCAATTGTTAATGAAAATAAAAAGAAATTGCAATGAATCTGATGACACATGCAGTGAAATGAAAAACAAACATTTTTAATCATTTTCAGATACGCAAATGTTCACAATCGTACGATGAATCATCAGTGGGGACCGCGAAAAAAGTTAATTATTACAAAACAAAATTTACTCCAATATGACAAGAGTCAATGAATCAGAAATTCTCATGAATTCTGAGAGCGTCGCGAGCGCAGACACGTGTTGCACACATTTCGTGAAACCTCCCCCGCAGACCCCGCGCTCCTCGCACACGTAGCACCCACCCCGTCTAAGGGAACCGCTGAAAAAATGCGACCATACTGTTCTGTTAATCAAATTGACCTTTATTAAGTACACTTTAAAGTCTTCATTTACAAAATAGTCTACGAACTCTAATATAACGGTATCTAAAGGGACATTTTTTTCCTAAATTGGGTCAATAACCTCGGTATTTGGCACAGGATTTGACATGCTTTCTTCTGTTTATTATTAATGCTGATACGAAATGAAGATGACCCTAAAATAAGTAATAATTTTTATAAATCATGACCTCAATTGTTCACTAAGGCCCATCTCATCAAACTAGCGGATTATAATATTATAAATCTGAAGAGTGTTTTTGGTTAAAATCACTAATCTCAGGACCTACTAGTTCGAATTGAAAAAGCATTTTGGTGTTGAATAGACCATTTATCGAGGAAGGCTATAGGCTATATAACATTACGCTAACCCATAGGAGCCGAGCATCAATGAAAAATGTTGCAAAAACGGGCAAAACTTAATCCTTTTGACAGACGCAGGCGAAGTACCTTTTGCAGGTGAAGTCAGCTGATGATAGAGTGATTGATATCTTACAGAGATAGAAAAACACACACAAAAACAGAATGCATATATAAATGAGCGTTGTAAATTTTGTGAAGTTAGGGCTTGTAGAGTTAGGGCTTGTAGAGTTAGGGCGTGTAGAATAAAAAGTTAGGCTCTACATTAAATCTGATAAATTTTTGACAGTGAGAGCCCTATGATCTCGTCTTGGCAACATTTTACATAAAAATGTTTTTGGTTGGATTGATTTTACGAGAATCCAAAAGCAACATCAATTACGGATCTCAACTATTACCTACTACAGTTTAGTTTTGTATGAAAAATGTTTATTTTATAACTTTAGTACCTATGTTTAATGACGTGGCAGCATGAGATATTGGTATCTCAGAGGTAGATTGTGTACATGTCCAGAATAGCATGATCATTTTATCACTGAATCATGCGTATTATCTGATCGATCTTTTTGAAAAGCCATAATATTCTCAGTTTTATCTAATCGTTCAAAGTGGTCGCACAATATTTTCAAAATATTTCTAATTTTACATTAGTAAAAATGAAGTGGTTTTTATTTGCTGTTTCATCCTTAATTGTGGCAATAGTTTCTGGACAATCAGATTCAGAACCCCCAGATGCATCGACGTCAGTGACAGTCACCACAGTCCAGGGCACGGTGAAGGGATTTAAGGCATTGGATGGTGAATATTTTCAGTTCTACGGCATCCCTTACGCTGATTCTCCTGCTGGGGAACATAGATTTAAGGTTAGTAGCCACATATATGCATATCAGCACGAACTTTTCAAGGATATGTATTTTTTAAATATGATAGATAAAACGGCTTATCTGCGTCTTAACTTAACTTTACAAAAAAAGTGATTAATCTTGCAAATGTGAAGAGGATACAAGAAAATGTAAATAACGTTTACAAACTTCCTCTATTTATATTAATTAGCATTTTTTCAAATATCTACTTCAAAAAATATATACCCATTTCTACCTTACCGTACTTTTATAATCATAGTGTCTGTGTATTAGATTTTTTTTTATACAGAAATGCGCTGCTCCCGTGTCTTATGAATTATTAATTATTTCTTTTCTTCCATAACCTTCGTGAATAAATTGTAATTTTACATTTATTTCTATTTTTATAAATACTACTTCTCCCTTATTATTATAAGGTATATTTACAAAATCATATTAACGACTAAATTAACGAAGTTAACTTTTTTATTAATTCATAGTATATTGATTAGTATTGATAAGTATATAGTTTATATAGTAGTTTTGCATTGCGAATTCTCAAGTTTAGACTGTAAAATTATTTTAACGTTGCAGGCACCTAGAGCACCACCGTCATTTGAAGGTATATTTACTGCAAATCAAAAAGATATAAAATGTGTAAGAGCTTTAGGCGTTGGATACGAAGGTACGGAGGACTGTCTTGTTGCTAACGTGTTTACGCCAAGGATAGGCAATGCAGAAAATTTGCCTGTAATGGTTTGGATTCAAGGCAGAGAGTTTGATAGAAGAAACGAGCATGAGCTATCTTTCAGAAACTTCATGGAAAAGGACGTAATTGTAGTTTCCTTAAATTATCGCGAGTCTGTCCTAGGATTTTTATGTCTTGGGACTGAAACTGCTCCTGGCAACGCTGGGTTGAAAGATATTATTGCAGGCTTAAAATGGATTCAAGAAAATATTGCCCAATTCGGAGGAAACCCCAATAACATCACTTTATTCGGTCATGGCAGTGGTGGTGCTGCAGTTGATCTAATCACCTTATCACCTATGGCAAATGGTTTGATAAACAAAGCTATCGCTCAAAGTGGCAATGCTGTGGCACCGTGGGCGGTATCAAGGGATAACTTGAAATATGCAATACAAATTGCTGAATCCCTTGGTCATATAATAACCGATATTGATGAATTATCAGAACTTTTTACAAGAATAAGTGCAGCGGCTTTAATGGGAGCTATCAACGAGCTCGATATACTTAACAATGCTTTAGCTTTTGCTCCTTGTGTAGAACGAGAAACGTTAGAAAATTCTGAACCTTTTCTTACTCAAACCCCATCTCAAATTCTGGAGACTGGCAGTTTTTCGAAGATTCCTTTTATTACTGGTTTTGTGGACACTGAAGGAACTATTCGTGCTCAAGTAGCCTTGGAAGATGATTGGTTACAAAGAATGAATACGGAATTCGAAAGTTTTATACAGTCTGACTTACAGTTTGAAAGTGAAGAAGAAAGGTCTGAAATTGCGAATAAAATAAGAAAATTCTATTTCCAGGATGATGAAATTGATTTATCAACTATTGGCGACTATATTGCATATCATGGTGACACCATGATATTGGTTTCAAGTATTAGAAACGTTAGAGCTCGAGCAAAGGCGTCATCTCCCTCAACTTATTTATACCAATTTTCATACAGAGGAGCAAAAGTCGAACCTTCTGAGAACCCTCTAGAAATAGAGACGGCTGGTCATGGTGAAGAATTATTATATCTGTTTCACGGCAATCCTGAAGGAGCATCAAATACTGATTTAAATATTGCACAAATACTTGTAGAAAGATGGACCAATTTTGCAAAAACTGGGTAAGAATTTTAAATACTATGAAACTAACTCACTGTAAAATATTTTGATACTTGCTACTTTCATTACATTTAACGTGCCACGATGTCCAAATCGTGTCACGTTAAATGAGATATCGTGACATATAATAAGAATACGGAGTGTCACCACCTCTATACACATCTATCTTATCCTGGGGTCGTGGTATGGCAAACTTGACACAAACCCTATACCTAACCAAAACTTAGTAGGCCAAAACTTCATGTCTAAGAAGGAGGCCTATGTCTAGCAGTGGACTATTAAAGTGTGGGCTGTTGATTATAAAAAAAATGATTTTTTTTTGTTGTGCGTTGGTAGTATTACATCTCCAAGGAAGAATATTTACACTTTTTAAATTAAAATTAGTTTTTTGGTGTAGGATGTTCGTAGGCCTTGTTGAGTACTGTTGTAAGTACTGGTAATTAAAGTTCCTTTATTGCCTTACACTCAGCAGCAACTATTACTTTTAAGCTTTATTTAGCAGAAATACCTTAAGGCTATCTTATGTTGGACATAAAAGTAGCATTACAGGACTGTGTTAGATTAGGGTAGCGCACTTAGGAATCCATGAGCAAAGAAGTCCGCACTACATTAATTGCGCCGGATCGGACGGATCTACAGAGAGATTATGTTTTATATGATACAATCCTTGTCATGTTTTACCTTGTTCACTGATTTGCTATCGTAATTTTAATTAGTGCATTTTATTATTTAACCAACTTCCAAAACATAAGAGAGGAGGTTATCAATTCGTCTGTTTTTTTGTATTGTTTTCAAAATTATTTTTGTAATCGAAAGGGTATGCTCCCGAGGTGGTCCCATTACAACCATCTCTCTAGGATCTGTTGATGGGATCCTAAAGAAATTGAAGGAAACCCTCAAATTTTACAGCCCGACAACGTGTGAATGGCACCTAAAATATATAACAAACTTCCAAAATCTCTCTTGCAAATTGTAAATAACTTACATGTACTTTCTGTCAGCTGTGAAGGACCTAAATAAATAAAATATCATTTTTAAGACAGAACTAATGAGCCTGCTGGTAAATAAGGTATAATAAATACAATAGATGAATACTTAGCTGACAAAAATTAAAAAAAAAGCAATGTAAAAGGAAACTTTTTTCTAAAATTTAATTTAATTAAATTTAATTTATAAATATTATGTTTAAATATATTGTCAATTATTGAAATTATGTTACATTTATAATTTTTCTTTATCTTATTGGTATAATTTAGGATATTGTTTTGTGTGAAACCCTATTTAACTTGTATTTGTATCTTTTGACATATTTTGAAAATTTTGTAGTGTGAATTGAATACTTTTAATGGAAATGTGATATATTACTAAAATACAAATTTTGCATGCCTTTATCGATCGAACATGATTTACTTTGCATACAACGATACCTTAGCAATGAATTCAGTTCAGAAATGAATAAATGATTGATTGTTTGATTGATTGATCGTTTCAATATAATTAAATACGTTTTTCTTTGACAAACGGAAGAGTAGGATACTTCTTCAGGTATGCCTCGTATGGATTTATTTTTGGTTCTGTTTTTGGAAACATCGATATTTACATAAAATAACTCTAAAAAAAAAGGAAGTAGGTACTACTACAGGATCAAATTCGATAATCAAATTACTTTACCTCTAACAATGACTTCAATGGTACTCTTCAGTAAATTCTAATATATATCTCATATTAAATGTATTTAATTATCTAGGATCCTATCGTTTGATCCTTATCTGATTACAATCGAACCAGCACAGAAAGTATATAAGAAAAACTACCCTTTTAATCTAAACATTATTTTTTTGAATTTGTGTTTAAAAGTTTAGGTTACATACATTTAAAAAAAACACTAAATAGAGAACCTGTTTGTTCGTTGCAGTCGGTTAAAGAAAATGTATAATATTGTAGACACTATATGAAGTCATCTAGTAATCTCAAACAGAATTTATAACATTATATAAAAAGCAATTTTGCTCATTTAAGATTAGAATAAAAAAACTAGAAATTGAACTTTTCAGTAATCCAACGAGTGAAACGTCATCTGAGATTTGGCAACCATTTACTACGAATAATGGTCACTACCTCCGCATTCTTGCTTCTGATGAAATACAAGATACAGAAAGTGCACCTCTACAAATGCCATTCAGTACCCCTCATCCGCAAACTTTAACATTTTGGGATGAAATATACAGCAACCACTTTCAGGACGCTGAAAGTAACTGGAATTTAAATGAAAGAGATGAACAAGACACTACCACTTCTGAACCCGAAGAAGATTATTCTACCACTTCACCACCCGACAATGATACTACTGACGCACCCGATTCCGCATCAACAGTTGTTGGATACACTTTCTTAATTATGACTCTATTTTCTATTTTGAATAGATTTCACTTATCAGTATTAGTCTCGTGAATCAACTATTCAATAGATAATGACGCTATTGTCTTAGTTGTTCAGTAACTTTTTAATGCTTTGTTTGGATTTTTATTGACAAATTCAAAACAAGGATAACTTGTAATGTTCTTTAACTAGCAAATAAATAACGAGAGATAAACAGTTACGCCTTTAGTACACTAAACAAAATCCACATAGTATCTAGGCTTGGTAGATAGACCTTATAGATGTTGTAAGCCCGGTCCGATTCGAATCCAAATCCAAATCAAATATCTGCTGAACTCAAACTTCATTGCCCATGTTGTTATTAAAATAGAATTATATTAGCAAATATATATTGATTATTATTTATTTATTTATTTACAACTTTGTGCACTTGAGTACATCGGCGGACTTAATGCCCTGGCATTGTCTACCAGCCAACCAATTATAGTTGGATGTTGGTTACAATACTATAGTTTTTATGTTATATTTTATGTCTATTTTTCTCTAAATTTAAGATTGTCAATTTTTTAAAATAAATATAAAAAGATAAAACAATATACGTTACATTATTTCAAATAATCCTACGGATGTCCTTACTTTTATCTTACCTGTCATATATATCAATAGATTCGAAGAATTGTATGATTTCATTTTTTGTATTGAGAAGTATCAAAGTAAAAACATTAGTGCCTTATCATTTCTTTAGTGTCTCAGTTTCTCGATAACTGTAGTACAGCTGCTCAAGGACACGTGATGTGTATGGCATGGGCTAATAATATTAGATAATTCTAAGTCTATAATGAAATGTTCACCCCAAGGAGGCAAATTGGGACATATTTAAAATATTTATTGTGTTAGAGACTTTCGGAGATACATGCCTCAAATAAAATCTTGGATGACTAAATCAAATTAATTGATTTTGAAAATTATTGATTTCTGAATCACGCTTAACCGTATAGACTGTGTTTTATATGAAGGACACTATCGGTGCAGTTTCCTGAAACTACAAGTACTAATAAAATGTAAACAGATCTTACAATGCAATAAATGAAGATCGTGCAGATATTTTGCTGTTAAAGTTAGAAGAAATACAGCAAACGAATGAAGATTAACGTTTTGCGCCCGTACGCTTAGAGAATATAATTATTTTAAAAGTACCTACATAGTGACGCATGTATTTTTACTGTATGGTGTTAATTTTTATCAGCTTCGCTTGATGTAGCATCTATTACATTTTTACAAACCGTGCTTTTCAAATGCGCTATTATCATCAATAATTGTAAATTATATATTTATAATACTTTTAGGAAAAGTGTTTTCGTATGAAATTGCCAAGGTATACTTGAAATTGCCATGCTTTTTGGATCGTAAGGTCTTCCTTACGATCAAACTTCTTTTCATTTCAAACGGTCTGAAAGTCACATCGTAATTGTCGTTCCTAAAGAGGTGGATATGACAACGTAGAGTAGTAGTTGTACAATCGTACGACAAGTCTCAGTTGCTCCTAACTGTTGGCTTTTACCGTAAAAAAAAAACATTTCTGTTGTAGATGCCGTGGGGAAAAAAAAAAAGTGAAACCAACTTCAACCATCACCACCAACCGACACATATGACCAACTTAAAAATATTACACAACATATGATTTTTTTAAATATAGTGGGTAACATTATAAAATCACTTGATACCTATTGGTCTGTTTCAAGTCAGTGGCAATCCAAATAGGAACTTGATGTTGTTTTCTCTCATATATCATCATCAGATCTTAAAAAACATGCGGCCACCAAGCAAAAAAAATTTTTATAAAATCAATCTGTAGATGACAACATACATTTTATTCTACAGGTTTAGATACTATCAAAACTACTTCAGTAGTACGAACACGTATAAATACGTGTAAAATTAGGAATTATCTAGTAATATGCCGTTTGATGGTGATGCGGTTAAATAAGTCATTTTATTCAAGGATTATTATTTACTATAAATTTAATTTTTGTATAATACGTTAGTATCTATGTACGATCTATTTAAAAAAAAAGAGAACTCCCGCACTAGAACTATAATCCTGTGTCGCGGGGGACTTTAAAAACTGAAATGAAGCGGACACAAAGAACACCCAGACAACCATTTGAAGATCACACAAGGTGATGTTCCATGTGGGGTTCGATCACACTAAGCGCAGTAGGAAGCGGCAAGGTTACCAATTGAAAAACTACGCCAGGCATCCATCAATCAACTAGAAGATTAGATTACATTTCATTTAAATAAAGTAATTTTCCTTATTTTTAGAACCATGAAAAAAAAATCTATAAGAGAATGAAAAATTAAATTTTTAATTTTCAGCCATCCAACAAGTGAAACATCGCCTCAGGTTTGGCAACCATTTACGACGAATAACAGTTACTACCTCCGCATTCTCGCTTCTGATGAGATACAAGATATGGATTATGCATGTTTGGAAATATGTTTGGTAAACCCTCATCCAGATACCTTAACATTTTGGGACGAAATATACAGCAACCAACGTAAAGATGCTGAGAATAAATTTAGTTTGAACAAAAGAAGAGAAGCTTTACAACTCTACAATGAAGATTCTATCACTCTAAGACCAAATGCAGCCCAAATTACTTCCGATAATAGTGACGAAATTCTTACCTCTTCAGGATCCGATGAAGATGACCGTATCACTTCAGGACCAGAAGAAGGAGGTTTTTTAACTCTAAGACTTGACAATAAAAGTTTTATTACTTCAGACCCTGGTGAAGAAGATTCTGGCACTTCAGAACCTAACGAAAAAGACCTTACCACTTCTACTTCAGGACGAGACGAAGAAAACTCTACTAGTACAGAACCTGACGAAGAAGAGTCTGCAAGTCCGAGACCTGACGAAGAAGACTCTGCACGTCCAGGACCTGACGAAGAAGACTCTGCTAGTCCGGGACCAGGTGAAGAGGATTCTGCTACTACAGAATCCGATGAAGAAGAATCTACTAGCCCAGGACCTGAAGAAGAAGACTATACTAGCCCAGCACCCGACGAAGAAGACTCTACCATTTCGGGACCTGACGAAGAAGACTCTGCAAGTCCGAGACCAGACGAAGAGGATTCTGCCACTACAGAACCCGATGAAGAAGACTCTACTAGCCAAGGACCTGAAGAAGAAGACTCTACTAGTCCAAGACCCGATGAAGAAGACTCTACAAGTCCAGGACCTGACGCAGAAGACTCTGCAAGTCCAGAATCTGACGAAGACTCCACTAGTCCGCGACCAGATGAAGAGGATTCTGCCACTACAGAACCCGATGGAGAGGACTCTATCACTTCAGGTCCCAATGAAGAAGACTCTTCTAGTCAAGGACCTGACGAAGAAAACTTTCCTAGTCCAAGACCCGATGAAGAGGACTCTGCAAGTCCAGGACCAGACGAAGAGGGTTCTGCCACTACAGAACCCGATGGAGAGGACTCTACCACTTCAGGACCCGACGAAGAAGACTTCACTAGTCCGCGACCAGATGAAAATGATTCTGCTACTACAGAACCTGATGAAGAAGACTCTACTAGCCCGGGACCTGACGAAGAAAACTTTCCTAGTCCAAGACCCGATGAAGAGGACTCTGCAAGTCCAGGACCAGACGAAGAGGGTTCTGCCACTATAGAACCTGATGAAGAAGACTCTACTGTCCCAGGACCTGGCGAAGAAGACTCTGCAAGTCCGAGACCAGATGAAGATGATTCGGCGACTATAGAACCTGATGAAGAAGACTCTACTGTCCCAGGACCTGACGAAGAAGACTCTGCAAGTCCGAGACCAGACGAAGAGGATTCTGCCACTACAGAACCCGATGAAGAAGACTCTACTAGCCAAGGACCTGAAGAAGAAGACTCTACTAGTCCAAGACCCGATGAAGAAGACTCTACAAGTCCAGGACCTGACGCAGAAGACTCTGCAAGTCCAGAATCTGACGAAGACTCCACTAGTCCGCGACCAGATGAAGAGGATTCTGCCACTACAGAACCCGATGGAGAGGACTCTATCACTTCAGGTCCCAATGAAGAAGACTCTTCTAGTCAAGGACCTGACGAAGAAAACTTTCCTAGTCCAAGACCCGATGAAGAGGACTCTGCAAGTCCAGGACCAGACGAAGAGGGTTCTGCCACTACAGAACCCGATGGAGAGGACTCTACCACTTCAGGACCCGACGAAGAAGACTTCACTAGTCCGCGACCAGATGAAAATGATTCTGCTACTACAGAACCTGATGAAGAAGACTCTACTAGCCCGGGACCTGACGAAGAAAACTTTCCTAGTCCAAGACCCGATGAAGAGGACTCTGCAAGTCCAGGACCAGACGAAGAGGGTTCTGCCACTATAGAACCTGATGAAGAAGACTCTACTGTCCCAGGACCTGGCGAAGAAGACTCTGCAAGTCCGAGACCAGATGAAGATGATTCGGCGACTATAGAACCTGATGAAGAAGACTCTACTGTCCCAGGACCTGACGAAGAAGACTCTGCAAGTCCGAGACCAGACGAAGAGGATTCTGTCACTACAGAACCCGATGAAGAAGACTCTACTAGCCAAAGACCTGACGAAGAAGACTCTACTAGTCCGCGACCAGATGAAGATGATTCGGCCACTATAGAACCTGATGAAGAAGACTCTACTGTCCCAGGACCTGACGAAGAAGACTCTGCAAGTCCGAGACCAGACGAAGAGGATTCTGCCACTACAGAACCCGATGGAGAGGACTCTACCACTTCAGGACCCGACGAAGAAGACTCCACTAGTCCGCGACCAGATGAAGATGATTCTGCTACTATAGAACCCGATGAAGAAGACTCTACTAGCCAAAGACCTGACGAAGAAGACTCTACTAGTCCGCGACCAGATGAAGATGATTCTGCTACTACAGAACCCGACGGAGAGGACTCTACCACTTCAGGACCCGATGGAGAAGACTCTGCAAGTCCGGGACCAGATGAAGATGATTCTGCCACTATAGAACCCGATGAAGAAGACTCTACTGTCCCAGGACCTGAAGAAGAAGACTCTGCAAGTTCAAGACCAGACGAAGAGGATTCTGCCACTACAGAACCCGACGGAGAGGACTCTACCACTTCAGGACCCGATGGAGAAAACACTGCAAGTCCGGGACCAGATGAAGATGATTCTGCCTCTATAGAACCCGATGAAGAAGACTCTACTAGCCATGGACCTGACGAAGAAGACTCTGCAAGTCCGGGACCTGACGAAGAAGACTCTACAAGTCCAGGACCAGACGAAGAAGAGTCTACCACTCAAGGTCCCGAGGATGAAAACTCTACCACTTCAGGACCCGACGACGACGAAATGTATACGAGTACAACTCTAGAACCTAACGAAAGTGTTTCTACAACTGAAGCACCCGGTTCTGCATCAAGAGTTGGTGGTTACACTTTCTTAATTATGACTATATTCTCCATTTTAGATAAATTTCATTCATCAGTATTAGTCTACTAGTACAACAATACAATAGATAAGGACCCTATTGTCTTAGTTGTTCGGTAGTTACTTTATTTAATAATGGCTTTGCTTGGATTTTATAGCGAAATCCAAAACAAGGATCACTTTTTATTAGGTTTGTCTTTTTATTTGCGAACAAAAGTTACGTAACAGTAGACAAACGGTTTTATGCTTTAATAGTCTAGTTCGCCAAACTAAATTTAGTTAGCATAGTCTGGCTTGGTAAATCTAACTTAAAGATGATGTAAGCCGAAACGAATTCATATTTGATGAACTTACTTTGTAGTGATTTTCTAAGTATTGATATAGGATCAAATGTATTTTAGTTGTAGATTTATATTGTTATAATTTTAAGTTTTACAAAGTAAAAATAAATTAAGTAGTAATGTTATATTGTACCTCATTTCAATTAATTCTCCGGATGTCGTAATTTTTATCAAATAATTTGATTCCAAGAATTGTAATATTCTACTTTTCATTATTTAAAATATGTAAGTGAAAACATATATCGTATGCCTTGTATATGCTATAATCTCAATTTCTTGGTTACTGCAGTTACATGCCTGATTTTGGGAGTTAACAACTCGCCGTACTTTTCCCACCGTTGATTGAAACCGGTTTAGCACTTAGGCTCAACATTGCAAGGCTTTAACTGCCTCCGAATTTCCAGACTAGCCTGAAACTCATTATGGATACTACTTATTGCCTCGCACTACCAATCTGTGGAACAAAATATACGCCCGCTGCTATCGCCACCTTCAAATTGTAAGAAAAGAACGTACCTCAAAGGTCGGCAACGCACTTGTTATGAAGTGAGTTGGAAGGTTCATGGTTCCAAACTTATATGACAGCTCCCCTCAAATATTCATAAATAGATGCATATTTTAATTAGAACCGGTTAATTCTTCATTGAATTATAACTAGTAATACTGCCTGTTTGATCTTGGATTCGTTTCCATTAAGTCATAGATTAATTTATGACAGCGGGTTTTTCAAATAGGGTTTCATAATGGGTCAAAACAGGATGAAGGACCGCTTTTTATATAAATAATATAAATGCATAGTTAAAACTATTAAATACATTTATGGATAGTATAAGGTGTCATGTTGCATGTGGTAAAAAGTTCATGGGTATTCGGTGTCGGCCAGTGCCGGCTGCGCAAGGTCACCTTATATATGCAGCATGGGTTGATAACAGGTATGCACATGATACTTTTTGTTACTAATAAGATTTCCTCCTCTAGCCTAGATGCAGACAGACGATTAGAATGTATTTAAAAAACCAAATGAGCAACAATCTTGAGATTACTTAATAAATATTTCTCCACAATTTTTTTTTAGGCCACACCACAGCTTCTTATTATTTCCGTTTCGTTATTCCAAATTTTTTATCGTACATTTTTTTTTATTGCTTGGATGGTGAATAAAACATATATCTGTCTGGTAGATTGGTAATATCAATAATGTCTCACTTTTCTGAGCCCTTTGTTTTGCCCCTTGTTTCTTTGACTCTCGGTGAGGCGTACCTCTCTCAGGTATAAGAGACGTAAATGTTTGTATGCATGTTTGTTGTGCGCACAACAAGATCTCTTTAACTATTCCAAAACCTGCTTATTATTCAATATTTCGTGCAATGTATGTAGGTATACAGTAATCTGAAGCGCAGTGGTCTTTTATGTGAAGCTGTAATGCTCCAGGAAGACACCACTGAACGAGATCGGTAGAGGGCCGATCCCGAGCGAAGAAGACGTCGGCGGTGGTATTAGCTGCGGACCGCCAGAGAGTAGAGACCTCTGGTGGCCGATTGATGACTGTGGTAGGGGACACGGAAAAAAAAGGGGACATATTGGCGGCCTAATTGCACCAAAATGATATTGGGCTGTAATACTTAGCACAAGCATTTGCTTCACTCTTGATACAGTTAGCTTATCGATCCGAGGGGGACCTAAAATCACAGGGTCCTGGTTCTCCCCAGTGTATTGCGCTGTCGGGGCTGTTTTTCCCTTAGTCCTGGCTCCTTTGCTCCCCTAGGAGCCTGAGTTCCTGAAAAAACGTATATAAATATAATACCAGTATTGTTGAATTGACTGCACTCTACTGCACGGATGGCGTAGTGGTTTAAGTAGTCGCTACGCCGCTTACCAGTACGCTGAGTGTTGTGGGTCTGAACCCCACATGGAACGACACTTTGTATAATCCACAATTTGTTGTTCTAAGTCTGGGTGTTCTTTTTGTCCGTTTCATGTATGTTTGTAAAGTCCCCCGCGATACAGGATATATTCCTAATGCGGGAGTTGCTTTTATAAAAGAAATTAACACATATTATAACTTAATTTCTTATGATTTCTCACGTTTTTTCACAAATACCATCATCAGATCAGACTTAGTGAAAACGAACAGAAATAACAAAAGTAAATCGAAAATATCAATGAAAAAACAAAATAAAAATGGAACATAAAAATATGTAAAATTTCGCATTATCTAATAACATTGCCAATGCTTATCTTTTAGAAACACGATGAATGAGCATAATCTTACATTATCATCTAAATAAAAACATATTTATGGCAAAAAGAACCTTACTCCATTGTATTAAAATACTTGTCATCGAAGTTCAGGATATTTAGATTTTAGTCTTTATGTTTTGTATCAGTAAGGTTTTCAGGGTTAAATCGACTGAAGCTAAGTGATGCTGTCGTCACTTGTAGCTATTATCAGATCAAGTAATTTAGCACGGATTGCTTAATATTGACAAATAATAAAAAAAAAATGTTTCGGAAATTAAACACATAACACCATCTGGTTTCAAACTAAGCAGAGCTTGTACTATGAAAGCTAGATTGACTGATAGAATACTTACAACTTACTTACTTATTTTTTGTAAATACATACAAATTATAAATACAAACTCCAAATAAAAAAAAAGCATTACAGCTTCACAGAAAGAGACCATTTCGCTTAGAATGTCAAGTAGAATGTCAAACTAACTAACCTAAATAAACTAGATTAGGTTTATTATTTATCATAAATTAAACAAAAAACTATATTCTTAGTTTAAGCTTTTAAATTTTTATTATTCGAAATTTTTCGAAGTTTTGGACGACACCGTTGCTGTTTCGATATTTCTAACTTTATCAACTATTTTCATAATATTTTTTTACTGTCAAAGTCAGTGATAATATTTTCTAATAAGATGAACAAGATAAGAGTGCGCGATCAATAATAATACATACTCTGAGTTGGGTATTAGCCATAGTTACTCCACTTGATCTATAAATGCGTGACAAAAGGTTGTTTTTCAGTTTTTCTTCCTAATCTTATTGTAATTTGTTTTCGGCTGCTAGTCGAATGATAAACAATGGCAATGTTATTACGTAATGCGAAATTTTACATAATATTATGTTATTACATAATATTGTTTATTTTGTGTATGTATGTTCATCGATATTTTCTTATATTTTTTTATACGTGTGGTGACGGGTTAAGAATACGGAGTGTCATCACCCCTATTCATCCCGTGGGTGTCGTAAGAGCCGACTAAGGGAGCAAACTATGTAGGACAACAGCACTGCAAAGAGAAGGAAAACTTGTCACAAGCCCTGTACCAATCCGTCTAGCCAGCGTGGTATAGTAGGCCAAATCCTCTTTTGCAAGAAGAGGCCTATGCCCAGCAGTGGACTATTAAAGGCTGTTCATGATTAGTCGAATGGTTGAAATGATCATAATAGAAACAATATTCAAAATCTCGACAGCGGCAAAACTTAAAAAAATTAATATGCCTTAGACAATACAATCTTAAATATGTTTACTAATACTTAGTACCTAAAGCTATAAACTCAGATTTGCAGACCCCATTTTAATGTTCCGAAATGAACCCCACATCTGCGCTTGCGGTTATTGTAAACAAATGTTGGCTTTAATGTACCCTATTTATTACTTTATGTTTTATTTGTTTACTGTTAAGGGCCAGGGATATTTGAATGTTTTAAAATTAGTTCAATCCATGAGTCATAGGAAATTGCCAAAATTTATTTTTAGGAAAAAAACTAAAATTATATCTCGTTTCCAATATTCTCTATTGTTTTACATATCCAAGGTATCCAGCGTTAGATATTACATTCTGTTTTTACAATCACTATAAGCTTTATAATAATTTCTACATTTTCATTTAAGCATATTGTTGAGCATATTATTTTATGATTGTGTATGGTCAGTAAATTATAATCGAAAGTAATAGTTACTGCCATATAAATAGCAGGTCAATCATATTTAAATTCTACCTGAAATATAATCACCCAGGTACAGTTAAAATTACAATTTTAAACGGATTAATATTTCGGCTTAAAACAATTAACATACCTACTCTTAATTTGTTACCAGAATACTACTAGTCATATTTTCAGTTCGAAATAAATTATTTTGATGTTACGGGCTCTCTCTATTGTTGTTAAAATTTTGATCTTAGCCTTATAGTTTGGTTAATTCTAATCTAACGCATATGTGTTTTATTTGCATGGAATCTTTAAAAATATCATCTTTTTCTAATATAATCATGATGGATTGGACACTTTGATGCTGGAAATCTGTTCTGCGTCCTATTCTATCCAATCACTACTAGTTTATGAGACTTACATATCAACTTATAAGACGTCGCAATTTTGCATGTTTATTACTATGCCACTGTAGATTTGAATATTTATATAATTTATTATTTGTATTGTTTTATTTTCATAATAGAGCCAAATAAAAATAATAACATGACATATCTTACATACGATCGTCTGTGTTATACATACTTTATCATCATAATCATCATCAGCCTATCGCAGTCCACTGCTGGACATAGGCCTCTCCCATAAATTTTATAAATTTTACACAACAAATGATAATGCTTATTACACAGTTTTTTTTTTTTGGTGGGTTTCTATGGGTCTTTGTGTTGGCAAAACAGGATCAATAACCATTAAACTAGTCAAATAGAATTACAAACGTTATAT